AGGGTTTAGGGCAATCTCTGTGAATTAATTTCAGCAGTTAGTGGTAGAAATAAATGTGTATAAAACATCAATTACAAGTTTAAAATACCTCAAAGGCACGGTAAGGTATATCTATGAGTATCTTGCAAGGTTTCATTATTTTTCAGTCTTTTATTTATTCAACCTTTTCGTATGAAATGTATTTTTATCTTGCGTATTCTGTTTTTATTTTCAAATTCTAAGCCAAACTACTGATTTATGGAGAAATAAGTAAACATCTAAACTAATACAAAAAAAAATCTATCACATTTAAAAGTATAAGTATCATCACATGAAAAGTCTTTCATAATAAATTCAAAAATAGATGTGCTAATTCGAAATTTAACAAATCTTTTTCAATCGCATATTGCAAAATCTATCTCTTATCGCTTTGTCCTGTAATTATATTTCTGAATAAACGAATAATTTTATTAAGGGTTTATACCATTTCGATTTAGAAGTAGCTTGTTTCAGTTTCTAGTTAGATAACTTATTGTTTGAAATTTCTACTTTTCGACAGATGTTCTATGTGACGCAAGCATTTTGCTACTTGTGTCACCCTTTTTTCTTGCTCTTCATCGTTTACGACACAGCTCTGTAGAGCTATTTATAGTGCTTTGTCTAAGAGAGGGATCCGTTCGTGAAGGATTTCCTAAAAAAAAAAAATCTTCCTCTCTTAAATACCATAAGTATTTGATTCTAGTTTTGCTTTTTCACGTATTACTTAAAGTTAAATTATCTGTTACTTCTAAATGTTCATTCTACTTTTGATTTATTAGACGGATAAACTGACTCTAATGACAGTGAACATTTTATTGAGCCTGGCTTACTACTTTGCTACCTTAATAGCTGGGATTCTGAATGACAGAGTTTTCTTCCAGTCAGATTAAGAATTTACGAAAATCACAATATTTTATTACAGTTTATACTGTTTGATTATTTGATTAACTCATAATACTGAAAGGCTATCTGCGTAAGGATATGGATATTACATGGCGCTGCACATTGGATAACCATAAAATCTACATGCAGAATCTAGGTATTAGTGGTTCACGAATTTATCATACCCCAACTGATCGGACTAACTTACTATATTTAATGTATATACCACCGAGGATATAGATAAACAATAACATAGCCATAAATCGTTTAGCTATTGTGTGCAATTTATAGCTACTTCAGCACGAAAGCAAAGTCTTTTAATTTATGAGTGATTAGCACTAACTGATATTAATTTCACTCGACAGTATGAAAACTTCATTCGTATTAGTAATGCTAGAAAACAAGCTGCGAAAATCCTACTCTATATTCATTATGTATAACCATCCAGACTCAGTACATAACATTCTTATAGTGCTTTGTTTTGATTAAAATAATCCAATCCAGCTTTATACATACCTTCAACGCTTATTTCTCCTTATATTACTTTGGTTTATCTGATTATGGCAAGGCACTCCCTGCCTAAGGGGAGTGTTGCCTTCGTGGAGGACTCTCTAAGGAGAACTGCTTCTTATACGCGCTATATATGGGAAAAATCATGAAAACGCCCATTCAGCCAGGCCGTTCACCGAGATTTGAACTTCGGACCGACCTATCAGTGTTCAGCGACTTTATCGCTCAGCCGCTGATGAGCCCTTATATTACTTTTAAACAAGTACATATACCTTTATCTCGTATTGTGTCCAAAGCATTTTAAGGCATAATAATATGCGAAAAAATTCAACACACACGCTGAAAATTTTATTAAAAGTACATGTTTCACATAGTCTTTTAGGAAATTCTCATTTTTTCTGGCAAAGGATGTTTGAAAGCATTTTTGTAAAATAATTTGCCGAATTTTGCAGAGTGTATATTATAACTTTCTTTAGTATTCATCCCAGTATATTTCTTCCCTATTTTATTGTGCAACGCTTTGCCATTATAAAGGACTTTTCTCCATTTTTCAACGCAATAATTTTTTTGAGTATGTACTCAAATACATAAATCAGGTCTATACTCAAATACATAATCAGGTCAGAATTTGTAAATTCTTTTATATTCAAATTCATTCCATAATAAGTTTTTATTTACGATTTTAAATTATTTACGATAAGAGCAGAATTACTTCGTTCAAATTTTATATTCAAATATTTAGATTAAGGCTTCCAAGATAACACAATGACTGTGTTTTGATTTATTAAGCATGTATATAGATAACTCCTTTTTAGTTAAATATTTCTTAAGTAAGCCTGATCTTTTAAATAATTTATTACCTTAATAATATAAAAAAGTAATTCGCGTTCACAATGTGTTTTCGCGCCTGTAATGGCAATTATTGTAAATTGGACCAAAATGAAGTTCAAACATATGTTTTTAGTTTCATAATTACAAACTTACAATGCTAAAATTCTGATTTTGTAATTAAAATTTTTTAAATCAATATAAGAACGTAATATTGCTTTTAATTTTTTTTAATCTTTAAAATTAGTTGTACTTTCATATCCAGCTTGTTCTGATCAAAAAGTGACAAAATAAAATGGAGCTAAAATTCTTTAGACTCTAAAAAGATTTTCTTATTGATTGCAAATTTTAATCCAGAGAAAAGAAGAAATATTTTATCTATCTACTTTACTTATCTTACTTTACTTCAAACTCACTTTATTTTATTTACTTTATCTTACTTTAATTTTTTATTTTACTGTACTTCAAAGCATCTAACAGTCTGTAAAACCAGCACTGAGTAATTCTAAAATAGACAACACATACAAAGAGAAAACTATAATTTTTTCAATAAAAAGAATTTCTGCTAATAATGCAACTGCTTTGATTACTGATTAGATAGCGTGTGGGGTTAAAGAGGATAAGAGATTTTAATTACAGCCTGTTTCATATATTTTGTCGAAACGTATTGGGTTAATAGGTTTCAGAAAATAATTCTGCTAAGAATGAATGTAGCAACAGAATAAAAGTGCAAGCTCAAAAATGTAATAATCTGATTTACCGCCCTGAACAAGGTCGAAAAAATAGGCTGAGTTTTATAGGTTAGTAACTGAGATATTTTGGAACTCTAAAAAGCGGTGTGATAAGCGGATCCTACCATGTGATCGAATAAAAAGATTTGTGTTTTCAATCGATTTGTGTTTTTCAAAGATTTGTGTTTTTTGTGCTTTCATTCGTAACCAATGGACGATAGCTAATTAGTGGTGACTTATGTGATTGTTTTTAAATATAAAGGAAATCCTAACTGTTTTTTGTTTAGGACAAGCTATGATGCAATCTTTCTAACTGCAATAATATTCCCTAATGACTACAATCAAACGAAATAAACTATCCTGTAATTTAATACTTCCGATTTAAAATACTTAAATCTGCTGATCATTTTTTTCCTTTGGATTTAAATGTGCTTTCAAGTATCGAATGCTTTGTATGTAAATATTATTATATTTGTGTGGATAATTTTATTTCTACAGGGTATTATATTGATAGGAGGGGTTTTATAAGCTCTTGAGAATCTCTATACAGTGTGATTACAAATAATTCAGAACGCTGTATTTCTCAAGTATTTTTTGCTTTATTTTATTTCGAATACATACAATCTCTTCATGCACCACAGACGTACAACACGGGACTTACAAAAGTAAGTTAACTGAATACTAATATTACATGCATAAATAAAACGAACAAAAAAAGAGAGCAGCAGTCTGGATTTCACGGAAACATAAAAGTTCACTGGCCAAGTCACGCCGAATATTTTCAAATCGTTCTGCAAGCATAATCTTGCAGAACGATTTGAAGATGTAAAACATTTGATTTTTTTTTATACCATCAAATGTAAGGCATAAAAAAAATCAAATGTTCCACATCTTCAGGTACTTTTTTTGAATATTCACATAAATTATTTGCAATTATTTCGCAAGTATTGCAATTAAAAAATGAATACTACTTGAAATGAAGTAAAAATCTTTCATCGTTTGATCATTACAATAAAAATATTTGATTGTTTTGTTACGGGACAAGCGGTAGACTAATTTTCCCAAATGCTATGTAACATTTCATTGCGAATTGTCACCAAAGCAGCTGTAATGCTGCCCTGGAACTACTGTATTATTACTGTCACTGGTAGCACATAATTTTTTTTTAACATATCAAAAGAATAAAATCACTGGATGCCATGTCAGAACACGCGGCTAGTCCGATTTATTGGATTGTGTGATATTGTGTGGGATTTATTGAGTCTCTAATGTTCCTAAAGGAATAGTAAGTCGTTCGAAGCTTTTGACTTCACACAGGAACATACATTATTGAACTATCAGTACCACTGCAGAATGCTTTGATGGCTTAGTAGATCTGCATCAGACGCACTTGCATAGTAACAATGGATAAACACTTTGTATATCTTAAAATGCTTTTATCTTTAAACCTGCCGTTTTGAAAAGAGCTTATCTATTACATGGTATATCGCAAAAAGGTCTGTAGGTGTGAATTTAAAAATTTTAAGAATTTCTTATTTATGTACATATAAAAAATATAAGCGGTTCATAACACGGAAACTAGTGGACTTCAAAATACAATGAGTCATTTGTAATACCCTGTATTTATTCTAGGTGATGTATAATTGCTATGTATCTGATCTAAAATAAAATTCGCACCATATTTGGTGATTTTAAGTGTATTAGTATATGCATGAAAAAGAAAATCGTACCACATTGGTGATTTTAAGTGCAACAGTATATATAAAGTATATTACTATTTTATAAACTGCATCCAATAAATTTCCTCTCCATAGAAATATTGAAATAATTTGATAAAAATTTCTAATTTTGATTTACATTAAATATCGAAAGAATTCCTAGAATGTGATAGAAAAACTATTCTAAGCCCAAGATTTTGAGTTTTATTTATTAACATAATTATCATTTTATCATTTTATTACATTACAAAGCTGTATTCTTTTAAACTTTACTTCCTTAATTCTTAAAATTCTTTTATTCTTATCTTTACAGATTCTCCAAATCTACCCCCAGGATGCATTGTTTGTGCATGGTGTCAGAAAGTAGGTATGAAACTATTTACACTGAAGACACCAAATGGATGCAAAGCTTTCTGTAGCGAATTGTGCTTTACTCAGTGCAGAAGAGCGTCTTTTAAAAAGAACAAAATCTGTGATTGGTGCAAACACGTGAGGCACACTGTGAACTATGTAGATTTTCAAGACGGGGAACAGCAGTTACAATTCTGTGGTGATAAATGTCTGAATCAATATAAAATGAACATATTCTGCAAAGAAACTCAAGCTCATTTACAAATGCACACACATCTTAAAGAGGCAGCCTGTAAAATGGCTTCGACTGGTTCTGTGAACTTAATAACGCCTGAACTGTGGCTAAGAGACTGTAAAACAAACGGTAATTCCAGATCTCCTCATGAAACAATAGATATAATGGAAGATATTAATTCTGACGATAATATTTCGGCAGCGCCATCACCCAGTCTTATTCTTGAATCACCAAAGCCATCAACTCCACCGATTAAAGAAAAGAAAGAGCATAAGCAGGAACAAAACCAAGCGCCTAAAGAAAAAGTGCTCAACAAGTCCTCCTCCAAACACTCTCCAAGGAAAAATGTTTCTGAGAAAGTTCATCATCAGTCAAAACACCACAGAGAAAGAAAAGTTAATGGATTGCATAATACAGGTGAAAGTCCAGGTAATCCTCGACAGTCACCCATTCATGCATCTCCTCCTTCTCATACACGGAGCAACCAAATAACTAATGGGTCTCACTCTCTTTTATCGCCACCACCTCTCGGTTCAGTGCCGAGGCCACCACCATATGTTGGGCCTCTACCACCTCGGCCTTGTCCTCCAGTACCATCACCTTTAAATATGGGAAACATTGACCATGGTCGTCAACCTTTTTTTCAACACAATGTAGTGCCACCTCCATTCCAGTTCTTAGCTCAACAACAAATGGAAGCATTCCTGAGATCTCAACATGGACTGGATTTACGGTCGAAACCCCCTCCACCCTTACCAATTCCACCGTGGGTTATGCCTCCATTTCCTCAAGTCCATGTACCTCCACCGCCACACATTCCTCCATCTCTGAATTCTAGAAGCCCATCTTTGTCACATTCCTCCTCGCCTGTACGCAGCCATAATCAAAGCTCTTCTCACAAAAGCAATCACCACGGTAAACACAAGGGGCATAGTAAGCACACATCCACATTTGCAAATAATGTCGAAACTCATGCTGCTAATAATACCACTAGTTCAGAGATATCTGTACCACCTTCTCTTCTTCCACCTGTTACTGTAATGGTGCCGTTTCCTTTAATTTTACCAGTTCCACTTCCAATACCCGTTCCTATACCAATACCTCCAGAAGTAATGGAGAAATATGGTAAGCTCAAAGCAGAAAAAAAGAATTCAGTTCAGAACGCAGTGAAGAATAGTCATAATAACAAAGATGTTGATAGTCGGAGTCATCGGAAAAGAAAACACTCGCATGAATCATCAAAACATAAAAGAAAACGCAGAGAATCCACAAATGATAATACTAGTGCCAAAACTTCTTGCAAAGAGGGAAATGTGGGGATTCTAGAAGTGAATCCTATGGAACGATTTTATAATCCACTTGAAAGCTCATCTTACAGAATTTCAGATAATACATCTGTTGATCTCAGTCGTCCCCCAAATACCCAAAATTTAGACTTAGAGGTAGATTCTAGAAGTTATTCCCCACTTTCTGAAGCCATTAGCAGTAATGAAGAAGAAATCGAAAGGACATTAAAAAATGGTGACAAAGATGCCTTTTCGAATGTTAATTTCTCGAGCTATAATCTCGGTTTGATGAGATCTAGTCCGTCAGTTGCAACTCGAGCAGCTGACCATAATATGGGGTTGCATAACACTTTGGAGAACTGCAAAAGTCCCTCTCCTACGAATTTATCCGTAAGAGAGAAAGAGCGTAGTAATGTGTCTTCCAGCCCCTTCAATTTCAAAAAGAAACATTTGAGAGATCAAATGAGTATTGTAACATAAGTAAAAATTTTGTCCATGTTTTGTCATGTTTTCTGTATCATAATTAAATTGTTGATTGAAAACATACAATGTCTCTCTGATTATTTAATAACAATATGTGTTTCAAGTATATAAATATCACATAATATTAAAGAATAGGTTCTGACACACATTTTATCTATTTTTGTATAGACATTCAATATACTTGAATTTACATATAAGAGAACATTTAAGGGAATAAAAACGTAAAAAGTCTTCATTGCAGGAAAACGTGAGGTTTTAACAAAGTTTTCTTTCATTTTATGTTTATTTTATAATACTTATTAGTGTAATATTTTTTGGGAGCTTTAGAAATCTGTAAAAAATACGTACAGGATAAAAGTAATTTTTTAGCATATTTGTCAGTGTCAGTCTTCATAAGGTAATTAAGTATGCTTGCATCACAAGAGATAAGTATTCTGCAATTTTAAGGAAGCGTAGAAAACTGCATAAAATATTTCTCTTAGAGGAACCCCATGAGATCTTTTTTTTTATATAAAATTAATTTAAGTTACATTATTAAGTGACTGTATAAAAAATATTTTAATTGAAAACCCATAAAACATTATAATAAATAACATAATAATTTATTTATAAAATATAAAATCGCAGTTCCTAATGCGATTACTTTGAAGAGTATAAGCATTCAAAATTTATTAAACCTTAAGATATTTATCTTATTGAGATAGAAGGTGTTTCTGACCTGCATGGGCATCCTAAGTTTAGTTCTGCCACTTCTTATAAGTCCTAATTATTCGGATTAGCGTTACCGCTGCCGGCATTTGAATTTCTTAAGTTGGTTGTAATTACTGAGCCAGCTTAGAGTAAGATTTAAATGTGTAGTCTTTGACTACTATACTATGCCTTAACTCGAAATTTACTGCTTATTTAGTTACATCACCACGAGCTATGGTTAATTTTAGTAGCACAGAACCTGCATTGATGTTCTGTTCAAATAAAAAGGTTTACTTAAACCTTTATCTGACTGACTTCAGACATAGCGATACTTGGCTTCTCATCTATTAGGGGTTGTGGACTCACTTTAACAGATCAAGTAAAACCCCATGAGTTCATGTATCTTTCCATGTTCATAGCATTTTTCTATAAGCTTTTCATAAAACATCAAAAGAATTTACATCACTAAGAAACACATGATGTTTGAAAAGCAAAGAGAAGCTTCATAATTCATGTCATTTCATGTGTAATTTTGCAAGTAATTTCTAAAAATTCGATTCCACAACTAAACAAGAACAGAATATTTAAATAGCCTATGTCTGTAATGAAAGTAGTAGCTAATTTTCATAAGAGATGAGCTACTGTTTCAAAATTAAACTACATATAAACGAACGGAACTAAAATTACTAAATACAGTTAAACTTCTATTCAAGGCTGATGATCTTCGTTTATCATCAACAAAAGTTCAGATTACCCGCATCGTTTCTATAAAGTTGAGCAGATATGAGAACCTATCTTTATGTTGCTTGTACATAATTTACGCAGTTTATCCGGAATTAAATTATAATAATACATCAAAATCTAACCTTTGTCGCAATTAAAAAGATTTAATAATTCTAGAAGAATTTGCTGATGCAAAATTTAATGTGATTTAACATTTTTACAAACATATTTTCTGAAACATTCAGTTTCCTGACAGTAAACTAGATTTATTGGGGTTATTAATTAACTTGACCATCATCTGAAATTAAAATCGATAGCAAAATAGTGTTATTTTCTATCGAAAACTTTAACATTGGAATAAGCAACATGTGATGCAATAATGACATGCGTAAAAGGCCATACATCCGACGTCATTCAACAATACCAGATTTTAGAAAAGACGTCGACATACTCGATGCGCTCATTTGTGAATAAGTGAAATCAAAATTTGAGCATTATTTTTCCTCTGTTCAGCGAATTATTTGAGGGCAACCTATATTATTTTTACATAATACGAAAAACATTGCTTTTGGAACTTATCTTAAGCATAAATCCTGATAAACGGGCTTGCTGTGTCAGCGTTTTCATGGTTTAGCTCTGTGTAACAAGAATACAAAAGTCCTTCGTAAAAATCTCCCCGTCTTAGGTAGATAATCCTATTGTGCTTGCTTGTAATCTAATAAATATATACAAAGTCATGTTAAAACGCTTGAGAATTTTTTGATGTTGGTGCCATTTAGTAGCAAATTAGTGAGTTATCCTCATTGTTTTCTTTTGGAATCATTACAGGAGGTCGTAATTAGCCCAATCGCTTCTTTTTTGACAATACATAATGTAAGATGATACAATACATAATGTAAATTTAAATTATGAAAGACTTAAAATTAAATAATACTGAAATGTAGAAACGAATTTTTCAAACCAGGAAGACTGCTCTGGATAAGATATGAGCCCCGCTGAAGTGTCAAAGGGAAACTGGCTCGTATATACGTTACAGATGGGAAAAACAATGTAAGCGCCCATGCAGCCAGCCCGTTCGCCTGGAATCAAACCCCGGTCGGAACTATCAGTATACAAATATTCAACCGCTCGGCCGCTCGTGTGCGCATACAAACGGGTTTAAATTAGTTTCAGTTAATTTACTATAAAATGACAACTGCAGGAAACGATTTTCAGATTTCCCTGCATTCTACCACCTTGAAGTGACGCTTTAATGAATAGTTAATTATAGTTAGTTGAATAACAGTTAATTGAAAGGTAAGCGTTTTAATTAAAGAAAATAAAACTGTAATCCCCTAAAATGTTTTATCTAAAATGTCAATGTTGTCTCGCATAAAAATTTTGGAGGAATTTTCACACTAATTAAATTTTTGTTACCTCAGTTAGATGCTGATTTTTATTTCAGTAAGAACGAAAGATTTCATGTAATTAAATAAACGACATGATAAATATTTTTAACACAAAAGGGGCTATTAGTCTCGAAATGGGACTTTGCATCGGTTCACTATAAACTGCATATTCCTTTAAAATTTTTGCCACCAAATATTATCGCCCTATGTTATTTATAAAGAAATTAAACAATAAAAATGTGCATGCATATATGTGTGTGTCTTGGCATTGCGAAAAAACGACAGTACCGAGCCATCAGATTTTGTATAACGTAGTCCTTCACCCAAACATAGGCACCTAGGAGCTCGAATTTTGGATTTCGAATTCGTTTTATTAATGATTTCATATTTTGATATCTTTAATGAATATTTGATTAACAAGCTCAACAATTTTAAAGCGAGCAGTCGCAACACTCTTCGAAGTAAAACATTTTTATCGTCAGTGCGTGAGACTGTTGCTACTCGAAAAAATGTAAGCTATTTATCTTTCAATTGTATTTAACAAACTATTCTATGAACGCAATGTGTTGCCGTGGCGTTTAAATAAAATACGTTTATCTTCCACGATCCAGCTTACTGTTGCCATTCAGTAAAACTTAAGATACTTTCAAATTTAATCTGGGAGATTATTCTGTAATAAACTAAGCGCTTTAAAGTAATAAACACAGTTCTTAAGAATATTTTTTTCCATTTCTTAATCCAATCGATTTAAATAAATATGTATTAAAACTGTAATGTATAATTGGCAATACTTAATATTTTTGTAAAATTTGACTAACTGGGCCCATTAAAATCATTATATGAGTTTTTTTATGATAACTAAGAGAAAAGAGTGAAAAAAAATATGAAAGTGTACGGCAATACTGCATCTTGAGTTCTAAACATATAAACATCTTTTAAAAATTTTGCGACTTTGTTGTTGAACTGTATGTAGCAGAAGCGCGAAGAAAATTTCTCTTAATAAAAAAAGCAGAAAAAAGGCAGATGAAAATGGGTTAGCAGGAGTGAGTGGGAGAGCGGACTGCAAATTCAGCGAAAGCGTTAAAAACCTTAATAAACCCTTTTGGGAAACCGTTAAAATGGGAAGATCCTCCCCCCCCAAAAGGTTATATCTCCGTCTCACTGATTGCAGTTGCTATTATCAGGAATGCAAGCTATTATACAAAAAAAAAAAAAAAAAAAAAAAAAAAAAAACTTGCTTTTTTCAGAGCTCTGCTTAGTTGTCTTTACTACGATTTTAAACGGGTCTTAAACGGTTGGTCACTGATCTACAGCTCCAAGTTAAGAAATGGATCAGTTAAATGGCTTTGAAACTATACTGAGTAAAAATATACAAAGTTTAAATTTTATTCCTATTATTTTTATTATTTTTACACAAATTTCATTAAAAAAATCAAGATCTAGTTAGTTAAAAAATTTGACAAAAGTGTTTTTATAAAATACGTTTTATTTAAAACTCATGAAGTAATAAATGAACTAAATGAAGAAAAATAACCTATATAGTTTCATGGGAACAAGAGTTTAAATAATTATCTTTACAAAATTCATCTACAGTTTTATACCACGAATAATAAAAGTGTCGGCGTCCAAATAATGATGTCTAGTAATGGAATTATTTTGTCAAAAGTATTAGCCATTATCTTTATAAATTTATCAAGGTCGCCCCAAGAATAGATGTTTCAAAGGAATTGGCTTTCTAGCTGTGATTTCTTCTGGTAGTTAAATAACCATAGTCAATTCCTTTTGTTGCACGCCTTAGACATTCTTTAACTTTTCGCCTATCATTTATAGTGTTATTTTTATTTTTTATGATTTGATTATAATAAAGTACTCTCTTGCTATCTGCCTCATTTCGATCTTCCAAAAATCGGTTTCATAGTCTGGAAATGACACTTTGGAAAATACCAAAGGCTTCCGCTATGCAGAGTGATTAGCTTACGCGTGTACAAATTTACGGAGAGGTAAGTTACTCAGAGATGATTCGGAAATACATAGCAATGTAGAGATGAAAGCACATTTGTAGCGGGCGTTGTAGTGGAACAGTTAAAACTTCCGGCAGTCAACAGTCAACCGCAAAAGAAGTAGGATGGAAAATTTCAGTAATTTCAAGTCGTAGAGACATTAGGTATTTTTCGGAAGCAGGCAAGATGAAAACTATGCAACGCTTTCGCCGGGAATCGAACCGCGGACTCTCAATTATGCGCTGAGTGTGCAGACCTCTAC